TAATATATATACATAAAACTAGTGGAAATTAGTAACTCTTATTTAGTTGCATGATCCAAATCTTAAATAATTTTAATTAATAAAAGATAACCAGACAAAAGAAAAGAAAAAATATGTATTATAGACAATGATTCATTTTGTTTCTTAATCAGGCTTTTAAGAGAAAAACCTACAAGTTGGGTATAATTTTTTTTAATTGACACTATAAATTAAACAGTGCTTTGTCACTAGGATTGATCTTTTGTCTTTTTAAGGTCTCTGATGAGCTATGTACAGTTCAAAAGGTAATTTTTCTAAGTTCTGTTTTCATGTTTGTGAAATATTGGTAAACAAAGAATTACAACAAATTATTATATTTGAATTTGCTCTAAGATTTTCATATTAATTGATTAGACTAAAATAATTTCTATTGTCCAAGCATATATAATGGTTTAAAAGAGAATTTTTCTGTTAAATATCATAAATTTATTAATGATTATTTAAAAATTTGTATACAAGTATGTTTAAAGAGAAATCAAAATGTTATAGTGATTGGTACTTGAGATTTTTACAACTTTTAAGAGACTGTATCTATAGCCTGTATTTTACAAGCAATGAAAGCATTTACATTTATTATTGACTACATTCTTAGAAAATTGTTAACTTTAAGCAGTACATTTTGTTCACTTATTTATTTTATTGTGGTTTAGGTGAAAGTTTACAGCTCAAGTTAATTTCTCATACAAAAATTTATACATATATTATGTGACATTAGTTGCAATGCCTATAATGTGACAGCACACTCCCCCTTTCCAATCCAGGTTTCTTGTGTCCATCCAGCCAGTTCCTGTCCCTTCCTGCCTTCTCATCCTACCTGTGGACAGGAGCTGCCCATTTGGTCTCCTGTGTCTGCTCGAACTAAGAATCACACTCTTCACGAGTATTATTTTATGTTTTATAGTCCAGTCTAATATTTATCAGAGGAGTTTTAGTTCTGAGTTAACAGAGCATCTGGAGGCCATGGCTTTGAGGGTTCCTCCAGTCTCAGTCAGACCATTAAGTCTGGTCTTTTTACAGAATTTGAGTTCTGCTCCACACTCTTCTCCCGCTCTGTCAGGGAATGTCTGTTGTATTCCCTATAAGGGCAGTCATTGATGGTAGCCAGGCACCATCTAGTTCTTCTGGTCTCAGGCTGTAGAGTCTCTGGTTCATTTGGTCCTTTAGTCCTTTGGGCTAGTATTTTCCATGTGTCTTTGGTGTTCTTCATTCTCCCTTGCTCCAAGTGGGTTGGGACCAATTGATGCATCTTAGATGGCTGCTCACAAGCTTTTAAGACCCCAGATGCCACTCACCAAAGTGGGATGCAGAACATTTACTTAATAAACTTTGTTATGCCGATTAACCTAGGTGTCTCCTGAAACCATGATCCCCAGACCTCAGCCTCAGCTACTCTGTCCCTCAAAGTGTTTGGTTGTATTCAGGAAACTTCTTAGCTTTTAGTTTAGTCCAGTCGTGCTGACTTCCTTTGTATTGTGTGCTGTCCTTCCCTTCACCTAAGATAATTCTTGTCTACTCTCTAGTTAGTGAATTCCCTTCTCCCTTCCTCCACAGCCTCGTAAACCAACAAAAAATGTTTTCTTCTGTGTTTAAACCTTTTCTTGAGTTCTTATAATAGTGCTCTCATACACTATTTGTCCTTTTGCGACTAATTTCACTCAGCATAATGCCCTCCAGATTCATCCCATGTTGTGAAATGTTTCTCGGATTCATCATTGTATTTTATCATGGTGTAGTATTCCATTGTGTGTATGTACCATAATTTGTTTATCCATTCATCTGTTGATGGGCACCTAGGTCGTTTCCATCATTTTGCTATTGTGAACACTGCTGCAGTGAACATGAGTGTGCATATATCCATTCATGTGACAGCTCTTATTTCTCTAGGGTATATTCCAAGGAGTGGAATTGCTGGATCGTATGGAACTTCTATTTCTAGCTTTTTAAGGAAGTGCCAAATCAATTTCCAAAGTGGTTGTACACTTTTACTTTCCCACCAACAGTGCATAAGTGTTCCAGTCTCTCCACAACCTCTCCAACATATATTATTTTGTGGTTTTTGGATTAGTGTTTTGTTGGGGTGAGATGGTATCTCATGGTAGTTTTGATTTGCATTTCTCTAACGGCTAATGATTGTGAGAATTTCCTCATGTGTCTATTAGCCGCCTGAGTGTCTTCTTTGGTGAAGTGTCTGTTCATATCCTTTGCCCATTTTTTAACTGGGTTATTCGTCTTTTTTGTTGTTGAGGTGTTGCAGTACCTTGTAGATTTTAGAGATTAGACCCTCATTGGATATGTCGTAGCCAAAAATTTTTTCCGTGTCTCTAGATTGTCTTTTTACTCTTCTGGTGAAGTCTTTTGATGAGCATAAGTGTTTGATTTTTAGGAACTCCCAGTTATCTAGTTTCTCTTCTGCTGTTTGTGCATTGTTAGTTATGGTTTGTATTCTGTTTATGCCATGTATTAGGACTCCTAGCATTGTCTCTATTTTTTCTCCCATGATCTTTATCATTTTAGATTTTATATTTAGGTCTTCGATCCATTTTGAGTTAGTTTTTATACGTGGTGTGAGATATGCATCTTGTTTCACTTTTTTGCAGATGGATATCCAGTTACGCCAGCACCATTTGTTAAAGAGGCTGTCTTTTCCCCATTTAACAGACTTCGAGCCTT